ATATATATATATATTATATAGAAATTAATGGACACCTAGCAGTACTCAGTATTCACCCAGACCATATAAATAGTTTAAATCATGGGTGCTTTTCTTGATGTAATGATTCTAAGCAACAGCAATCTCTACATTATCAGTAAGGTCGTTGTTAAGCAGCTTAATTACACCCCCCCCCTACATTCTTTAACACTTGCTGTGTTTGTTTTTTGTCATGCAGATATTGCTGCAGCAGATAGTGAACATTTTAAAACTGGCCGAGGAGATTGTGGCGACTCTCACAGATGTGGAGTTGCCTGAGTGGAAGCACAGGCAGCAGATGGCCTGCATTGGAAGTCCGGTTGACACCTCGCTGGACCATCTCCAGAAGTGGTGAGAACTTACTGGTGCTACCTTGGCTTTTCATGTTTCACGCTGAGGCCGTTGGACACTTATTAACTTATTAATGTTGCACATGCAGGTTCACGACTGTGGCGGAGGAGCTACTACGAGTGCGCGAACAGCTGCAGAAACTGCAAGACCAGAACATGAAGTACAACAGCACTGATAACTCCAACCTCGCTGGTCCCATGGCAGAAATTGAGAAATTCGCACTGTCCTTGCTCACAAAACTTGTCGCAAAGTGAGACATGGCATCATATAACTCTTCAGTGTTACATACAGTACATACATGCAGACTGATACACACACTTTTTTGTCGTGGTCTTGCTTTGCAGTGCTCTCGTGGTTGCGAAACAACCCGCCATGTCGAGTTTACAACAACGACCTCTGATACTGAAGACCGGGGTGCGATTCTCGGTGACAGTGAGGTGAGGCTGCACCGCACACAGTGTTGCTCTGAAGGCTATTAATGAAAAATCTGCCCGAACAGAGCTGATAGGATACGACTAGGTTGGATAAAAAACTGTGGACTGGAACCAGGGATGCTACAAAAGCTGAAGGTGGATTGTTGTCAGGTCGGGGTAGCTGGTCTTTAGCAAAGAGACAGTAAGAGGTCTCACTCTGCCTCTATTTCCCAGTACCATAAACCATCGCTGCCATACTATTTGTTATTGATGTTACTTTGACAGTTATTTATAGTATGTTTATATTCACTATAGTTCAATCCTGTACAGATATTCAGTTTTTGTCATTTGAGGTTGAGTAAGGAGCAGTTAAAACAGTTTCTCCAGCAATTGTACCGTTTGTTTAATGTATTTTCTTCGGTATCAAAAAAACGTGTCGCTCAGGAACGGGTATCGAAGTCAAGGTATCGATATCGGTACCAATATCAAACATTTTTGTTACCCAAAAGTAGCTGTGAGAAGTACTGTACAGTTATTTCTTTTATTTTTTATTTTTCTTCTCTCCTCAGGTTCTTAGCAAACCTCCCAGTATTCAAGCACCTGCTGAAAGTCAAACCTGTATTTGACAAGTAAGTCAAAGAAAACCTTGGTATGAGCCAGCTTCCTTTTTTTATTGTTCTTTGTTTTCTTATCAATCTTCCTTTGTCTCGTTTCTCCTAAATAAGGGATGTTCAAGAAGCCCAGACAACTAAAGGGTAAGTAAAGGTTACCAAAACCATTGGAAAAATCTAAAAAGTAAACTGATGCATTGCTTACATTGTCGTACATCTCACAGCTGATACATCTTTGAACACAGAAAAACTCTGGTTTGATGTTGCTGTAGGTTTCGTCGCTTTGAATTCAACAGGGAGGACTGTAAGGTGTTGGACGTGGACGCACCGGATGGAGGCTTGGCGGCAGAGTTTGGTCACATGGTATGAAAGTCTGCAAACTGACGTTAAAGCAAAATATAAATCACATTTTGTTTATTGTATCGGTGTCCATCTGTAACTAAACAAACGTATAGTTTTGTATTTTATAAACAGTAATACAATGCATACATCACATGCCCTAAACCAATATAGTAGACTATATAATGACTGCTTTTTTTCAGTTTCTTAAGGAGAAAAGAGGAAGATCCAAAGGATCCTCTGAGGTATGAGGAGACATTCAAATTCTGATATATTAACTGTATTTACAGGTCGCCACTGGCTGGCTGTCAACATTTAAAATCACTGACAGCTCTAATGTGTCAGTCATTGTGTTTGACCACATCTTGGCACAAAAATAATACCATGTTTTAAAACTTAATCTCTGCCATCCTCAATTCAAGTCCATTAGTGGTTATGAGATCAAAACATTTTGTAAGCTTTGAGGGATCTAACGTGGTGAAGGTGATGAAGTTACAATGTTTGACGGCATCTTCTGGAGGGAAAAGGCTTCAGTACAAGATTGTATTACTTCAGAGTTAATTAACAAAATTTTCACTTAAAGGACCAGTGTGCATTTAGTGACCTCTAGTGGTGAAGTTGCAGGTTACAACCACAGTTCAGTCTTCCAAGCATGTAGGAGAGACTTTGGTAGCTGGGAAACTCTATCTAGAGCCAGTGTTTGGTCTGTAGTGGTTCAACATAGAAGAGGACCCTCTATAGATATAAATAGCTCCTTCTGATGTAACAAAACACAGCAAATCATATTTTCAGGTGATTATACACTAATGACAACATATGAATGTTATATTCCATTTCTGCCAATTCATCCTCCTAAATGTTACACACTGGACCTTTTAAGTTTTTATTTCTGTACACTACTATATTTGTTTTTATACAAGTCATTTACCCCCTAAAACAATGTCTCTATCTTCCTCATCAGACTCGTCTGGGCGTCACCGAGGAACTCCACATCATTAAGTTTGTGGCAGAGTTTAAACATGCCGGACTGCAGTGCAACCTTGAGGTGAGTGAATGATCATTTCCCTTTCAGCGAGCTCTTTGCTGCTGAACTTGAACAGTAAGCGGCTGACGAGAAAGCCATATTAGAGCTGCAATTGTTCAGTCACAGACAAATATTTTAATGTTTATTGAACAATCTCTTCCTCTTCCTCTTCCTCTTCCTCTTCCTCCTGTGTCGGTCCAGGCCAGCTCCCTGCCTGTGATTGTCATCTCCAGTACCAATCAGGTCATCAGTGCCTGGGCCTCCGTCATGTGGTACAACACACTGTCCACCAGCGAGCCGAGGGTAATGATCTGTTGAAGGATGAGATATAAAACAGTCGTAAATATGCATGTTAGACTCATTTGTCCGAACTTTGTTCTGTAGAACCTGTCGTTGTTTGCCGACCCGCCGCCACTCACCTGGCAGCAGCTGTCTCATGTTCTGAGCTGGCAGTTTTTGTCCGTTGGAAAGCGAGGGCTCGACGAAGACCAGCTCTCAATGCTGAGAGACAAAATTGTGGGGGGTGAGTGTTTGACCACCTCTTCCACAGAACTGAATGGATTTTTTGTATAGTTGTTTATTACATATTGTATTACACAATCCCTGTCAGTGATTTAGTTTATATTGTACTAAATATGGTTCTTGAATTAAACATCTTGCATTCTTGGATGTTCATTTTCTACTTTTCTTCACAGATGATCCTGATGATCTTGTGCCCTGGAGCAAGTTCTCCAAGGTGAGTGTTGGGCAAGATTCTTGTTATTATTGTAGTTTACACCAGTGGATCCCAACCTGAGGGTCGGGACCCCCACTAGGGGTCACCAAAGCTTCATGGGGGGTCGTGAGGCCTTCTTGATTTTAAGGTGTGTAAGAAAACTAAATGAAAATATACACAGGAGGCTGATATCTCAGCTTCCTTAAACACATTTTACACAAACTTCCTGCAGATATTGAGTTCACTATTTGGGTTTATTGTACAGTTTTGAATATAATATGAAATATCGGTTTAGGAAAAAGGTTGGGAACCACTGGACTGGACTCACTGAGAATGAGTCAATCGCAAGGTAGCCACGCCCCAAAGCATACCCTGCGTTATTGTCTGTTTTACTCTAAATGGGACCATCATTTACTACATGAACAGGAACTTGAAAGACCCACTAATTATGTACTGTCAATGACCGTAACCAGTCCCCCTGTTTGCATGTTGACGTTTGCCTTCCTGTGTGGACAGAACGAAGGTGCCTGGATTTGGATTGACGGAATCCTGGATTTGGTCAAAAAACACCTGGTGGATCTTTGGCGGGATGGGTAAGACATATCCTGAGTCATCTCAGCAATGTTTTACTGAATCATTCACAATAATTATCACATTAATAACGAGACGGTGGTCAGCAACAAATGTCACTGAAACATAACGAAACATCATTAGTATCATTATTTGGTGTCCAAATCCACAATTTGACTTTCAACTTAAATATATATGCTGTTGTTTAACTATCAAATCTTAATTTAGGAGATAAATGGTTTTATGCATTTATTTAAAAGGTAATAACATTATAATGAATTTCACCATTTGGGAACAAACACAAAAACAAAAGAAGAGTCTCCAGATGGAGCTGTCGGGTATTTCATATCGACAACTCACCTGCAAAAATCCACCAGCAGGATTAATCCTGCTCTGGGAGAATCGTCCATCCTGCTTTTGATTGCGATACTCAAAACTGTGACACCTCTTTTACTTGTTAATGAGGATGGGGATTTCAGTCACTGTGCCTCCCAGTTAACTAAACTCTCATCATGTGGGTTTCAGTTGCATCATGGGGTTTGTGAGCAGGAAGAGAACACGGACCTTGTTGCAGGAAAAACAGACCGGGACCTTTCTGATCCGCTTTAGCGAGAGCCTCAAAGACGGAGCCGTCACCTTCAGCTGGGTGGAGCACACCCACGGTGGTACGTTTCTCTACGTTTTCTCTACACACTATGAACTGAGAGTAAATAACATTCAGATATTTGTCTTCTTGTGTGTGTTTACTTTATCTTTCTGTATGTGGTTCCCCTATAGAAACCCACGTGCATGCAGTGGAGCCCTACACCAAGGTTGAGCTGTCTGGCATGTGTCTGCCAGACATTATTAACCTCTACAGTCTGAGAGCTGAGACGAACATGACCGGGAATCCTCTGCGCTTTCTTTACCCAGACATCCACAAAGACACCGCACTTGGACGCTACTACAATAACTCACGTAATGTCGCTGTCACATATATAAAACATATAATGTCGCATAATTAGCGGACAGAACTTCAGTTTCTACAATCGATATCCATCTATAAAAATCCCATATCAGCCGGGCTCTAATTCCAAAACAATTCATAAGTGTCAATCAATTATGGGCTGAGCCAATGTTTTAATGAGGCTTGGGTTATCCAGTTTAAGTCAGTGTAATGTTCTTAGCTGCATACAATTCCTTATTAAACATTAGCCCTGCAATGACTTCTAATCCCCTCTGTTCCTGCAGCACTGTCAGCAACTCAAAAGGTCATAGATGGATACGTCAAGAGGACCAACATTCCCGTGTCAACGTAAGACGATAATAATTAAAAGGAAAAATACAGCCGTCACTTGTTTTTGACCTACAGCTGTTCCCTTAACTTTTGCCTTTTATTTTTAATTTTGTTTTCTACAGCTATCCTACGCCACCTCCATCTCCACCCAGGGAGGTGGAGGACATAGAGGAGGTAAGTGTGAGTTTGAAATGTTACATCTAATTTCCCTGCAGTCATTTAAAGGTGCAGTATTTTAGTTTTAAAACATTCAAAAATCAACAAAAATTATCAACAGAATGTGAAGAAATAACAGTTTTGACGTTAGATCAAAGGCGTCTATGTGTTGTGTTATATTTATGAAGTTAGCATGCTAACCAGCTAGCTTCGGCCCGTCCTGTCTCTTGATATAACTTTGTATCACAAGAAGCAAAAGTGAGGAATGTTGGGCTAGTTATGAATTATTCATTACTCATTACAATAGTAATATTATTACTTTACTTAATACTCCCTGCCAACAGTAATTAGTTCTATAGCCGGCTGGATTGATTTTCCTTGTTTGTATGAGACGACTTTTCATCTGCAGTTAATTTAAACAAAATCTTTTTGTTTTCTTGTAGATGGAACTGCTTCAGGAGCTCTTTCCTGATTTCTTTTACTTCTGCACACCATCTCAGAGCTTTGTTGATAATAGTAGCTCATACTGAAAATGTGCTGTCAGATTCAGAGTAGGGATGTCCCGATCCAAACCCAAAGATCGGTATCGGCTATATTGAGCTTTACTGACCCAATCCGATCTTTTGTTTCACGTTAGCTGTCACACAGCTGTTTTTACTCACAAAGCTTTCATGCACGGTGCAGCCATCATCAACTCTCTCCGCTGTCTCCACTCTGCTGAGCTCTGTATCTGTGTGTGAGAGCAGTGACTGCCTGTGCTCAGAGAGAGACAACGGTAGAGATCCGACACAAAACAAAAAGCCAATAAGAGTAACGCATAAAGGTAATCTACACAAAAGATGTGAAGACGATGGAAATAAAAACTCTGCAGAATAAAGACAGTTCATTCAGACGAAGACTGCACTGAAGCAACAAACACTCCCTCCAGACAGCGATAAGGCCGAAAAGATTAGAGAGGGTTTGTTATTTTATACTTTATTGTGTAAAGAAGATTAAAAAAAAAAAACATTAAGGAACAGCTTTATTTTTCTTAAAGCGACGTAGAACTGGATTGATTTTAGTTTAATGTACTTAATGTAATGTAAGTGTGCACTGTGCACTTGTATTATCAAGGAAAACACCCCAAGTATTGAGAATCAGCAAATACTTGATATTAAATGAGTGATTAGATTGGGGGCTAAAAACTCGGGACATCCCTAATTCAGTGTTCTTGTGGTGCTGGTGTTACTATGAAAATGAAGCATCATACTGGATATTAATACACAAAAAAAGGATGATTGATGACTACATTACAGGAAATTTAAGATTCTTCTAAATGTATTTTGTGCAAACATGAGATGTTTTTCTACTGTACTGTTTTAAAAGTGAACTGCCTCTTGTGAATGTGTGTGAAAGGATGAATGTGGCACGCAGTGTAAAAGCGCTTTGAGTGGTCGGGAGACTAGAAAGGCGCTATACAAGTACAGGTCCATTTATCATTCACCATCTTAGGTATGTGAAGAAAGAAGAATGTTATGCTGCTGTGGGTGGGGGGATGCAATACTGTACTGTAGATGTTCTTTACTTTTGTTTATTAAAATAAACATATTTGAACGCATTCCAGTGCCAAGAGAAATTACATCTGCATTATACAGTACTCAACATATAATAATAACTTTATTTATACAGAGAAGAGAACAAACACATTCAGTGGTCTAATGTCTGGACTGCAAGTTTTGTATTATTGTAGTCCTTGCCCATATTTTCAGCTCTTAAATAAGTGGAGTCCCACAAGCAAGTCGGTTACCTGATGAGTCCAAAGTATAACTAAGTTACTGTCTTCTGACACCATTACATGCTTGTTTCCATCAATATTGTTTTGTATACAGGTTGGATGAATGTATACATGTATAAACAAGCCTATATTTTCATTTAATATGAAAAGCACGAAAAATATATTAAAGTACCCTGAATATTAAAAACACAGATTGGGCTTTTAAAAAACTAGTTTGCCTCCACACTTTTTCTTACATACCAGTTGATCCCAACCTCTTCTATCATTGAGTAAACTGACTAAGTGACATATTTTATGGACATTTAATATTATATTAAGTTAATAACAATATTGGTACAGAACAACTGACAAACTGTACAATGAACCTGAACACATCACTGCAGGAGGTTTGTGTAACAACAATTGAATTTTGAGGCAGTTTTACTTATTCTTAGTGATTACATCAGAGATGAGTTTTCCTGATATTTTTAGTAACCTTTTATATTTAACTTTTATATATATTTTTTAAATTACCCCTCTTAAACTAGCTTCACCAATCAGCTACAACAATAAAATGCTGCACTGACGTAGCTGAGGTACTTCTACTTTTTAAATGAAAAACTTAAACTTTTTACTTATAATAGAGTATTTTTACATCGTATTTAAGTAAAGGATCCGACTACTCCTTCCACCTCTGACTTTTAAATATGATATCAACCACTACAAGTACAAGAAAGGGCACAAAATGGAGGCCAGAAAGAATTCAGATTTAAATGTCGACTATCTATGACTTTCAAGACTAAAGTAGTTCATTACTCAGCTACACATTTGTAATGTTTAAGATACCAGTTATGCATTTTAGGGAATCCCTTCATATTTGTAATAAGATGTTTTAAACTTTACTTTAGACTCATCAGGTCGTCCTTCTGGGGCTCCACAGTGTACAGAATATTTTTTTTCTACCAGTATTGTGTCGGCTCCTTTCTTTGTAATTTTCAAAGATCAAACACCAAGAATCACTATTGAGATATTAAAGCTGTCAAGCTAACGTTGAGTGAGATCATATAGTGAATACAGTGTAAAGTATTTTAAATTCCAGTTTTCAGGAAATACATATTGCTACAGTGCAACTATGAAAAACCGCCACCATGACTTGAAGCCTGTTACAGTTATTGTACGGTATGCAATGTTGACATTTATATACTTTCTCATACTACATATCATTGAGGACATTTCGGTACATTCTTACAGTACATTCTTTACATTCTACTTTTTGACTGGAAATATGTGACAGAGAATTGGGAAATAGCATCAGTTCTGTAAGAATTACTCCAAGAAATTCAGAATAATTACTGTCATCGTCAAACGTTTCATAAATTGTCCTGTGTTGCTGAAGTTGTTCCGTGCAGGAAACCCAAGAAATGTGATTGTCTGTAAGTAATGAAACCAATTTGCAAAAATATAAAATCTTCATTAGATTCTTATGTTTCGTTTGAAAAAGGAATTTGTTTGCTGACACTGTTGACAGGAAGGATGGAGGATGTGATCCACAATCTTCTGTCAAGTTTAAAAACTCTCACCACTGACTGTTTATAAAAATGGACGACATGACAGCTCCCCAAAAGTGAAGCAAAAACATCTTGATTGCCCCCCCGGTGGTAGTCAAATAAAATGTTCCCAGTTATGGTTTCTGTCATTTTTGGTAGTTCTTATCATGCTGATCTTTATTCATATGTTAATTTTGATCTTTTAATTCGTTATTTGATGCTATAAAATCATCATGTTTGACTCCAGTGGAATTCATAATTTGGTGTGGTCATGTTTAATCACTTATTTAATTAACATTCATTTCAAAATAATTGTTATTAATAGTGTTTTAATAATAATATTGTGTTTTCCCCTGAAGTTTTTCAAAAGGTTTCCATTAATTATCTTTTGCTGTGAAATATTAAGCACAAAAAAACATAATATGGAGGAATTACAAATTATATGTTACAGAGTCCGTTAAAAACTTTAAACCCTTTTTTCTCAGCTTCTCTGGAATTATTGCTCTTTGCCTTTTGTAGGACATGTTTTCCCTTCATTTTTGTACAGTGGGAGGAAGTGGAGTTACGTCGTCCATCTTTATGTACTCACACACAGAAAAATGTAACTTTGAATAAAAAACTAAAATAAAGACACCAACTTTACTCCATCCCAAATTACAGTCTCAACGTCTTTAGAAGAATTTTACACTTTAAAAAGTCTCTTTATGAAATAAATACATACTGCTTCTGTTGCTAGAAGTGTTGCCACTGAAAAATAGATTCAGAGTACATTCTTTCACCAAACTTCAGAGGAGATTTGAAGCTTCGTAAAAACCTGCCGATTGAACTCGCAACAGCCCCGAGAACAAGCTTGAGAACAATGCAGGTAATATGGAGATCCGACAGGCAGACAACCGCAGTGTGCCCACACACACGTATCATACGATCAAACACGCATTATAAAGTTTATACCATAATTTCCACACACCTCACTTCTCACAAAACTAATACAATCCAAATATTACCAGGTAGAGAATAGTACAATAGAAACTGTACTGTAACTAAACTAATACACTTTGATACAATCTAAATCCTGTGATACCACAAACGTGATTGACAGACCGACAGATTACATGGAGTAGTATGCTGTAAACGTTGCATTTACGGATATCTAGATATTGTATCATTTGTTTTAACAGTGCTGATAAGGCGCTCGCTCACACATACAAGACACGTTACATCATGAGACGGGCGAGGATGAGATGTACAGCCAGAAAGCAACTAAAGCAACAAAAGCAAATAACTAATTCATCACGTTTAAGTTAATCCAGAGAAGCACAACGCCGCGTAGGAACTTGTTCTATAGATGTGTGCAGCAGGTCTACAGCAGGCTGTCCAGGCTCTTCTCAGCGCTCTCCGTGTCGACAGCAGCAGAAGGGGGGCTGTATTTGTCGTTGTACTGCTGCAGGATGGTGACGACATCGTGGTGGCCGAAGTGCACCGCTTCCTCTATCGGCGTGTTGCCCCATCTGTACAAAGACAACCAGTGGTGGAGGAAGAGTTCAGATCCTTTACTTGAGTTAAAAGGACCAATAGCACACTGTAAAAATACTCTGGTGCAAGAAAACGTTTACTTAACTAAAAGCATGTAGGTATAATCAGGAAAATGTCCCCTGTGACTGTTGTATTGTATTATATCATTACATTATTATTACTTACTAATGTAAAAGCAGGATGTTACAACTATTATTACTATTATTCTTTTAATTGTGGATTAATTTACTGATTATTTTCTCCATTAATCAATTGATTGTTTGGTGAAAAGAGAGAGAAACCTCAAAATGATTAAAATGAAAAGCAGCAAATATTTACATTTGTGAATCTGGAACCATGAAATGTTTTTACATGAAAAACTACTATTACAGTATTACATAACAATTAGCAAAATAATTGCAGATTCATTTCCTTTCAATCAGCTACTGTAATTGATTAATCGACTAATTGTTTCAGCTCTACTTGCGTACAGTGTTGGGTAGTTTTTTATCAGCTCGTTGTAAGTTCTCTACATATTCTTTAAGATGAGCTTTTCTTCCTTAAACTACTTCACTGAAACTTGCTTCAAAAGGGCAAGTTGCGAAGTTTTCAACATAGTAAATTCAGTCCTGTGAGTGGATTGATTTCCAAAAGATTTATTGCTGGAGCGAAAGCTGCACAGCTTTTAAATGACCAAACTGACACTTATTTCTGTAACTGCAGTAACTGTTGTTAAACTAGTCTTAAAAATGAAGGTGACTGAATAATCCCTGTAATTAACAACTTAAAGCAAGCTTCTGTAAGTTTATTTTCACAATTTAGAAAGCATAAAAACTCTAAAGTTGTGTTGTTGTTATGTTGCTTTGGAAAATAGTCAGCAGAAATGTGTGTACGCAAACAATTTGCAATCAATTACATTATATAAGCATTATAAACTGTCATTATAGTCCTTCTGCTCCTACTGATTCATACTTACCACTCAGGTTAAAGAGAAAGTGATGAGGTGGAGAGCCACACCATGTACATTTTCTGCTACATTAAAAGTTTGAAGACGTGCAGATGATGAGGAAAGACCACAGACTAGAGTCTGGACTCACCTGTCTCTGGGTACTGGGTTCACCTTGCAGGCCTCCAGGAGGAAGCGCACCACCTCTGTGTGTCCTGAAAGAAGAGCAGATGTTAGAAACACACACATACATATGATTCTGATTGGTTGGAGAGGTGTAAAATCCTCTCACTATTGTGAGACTCTTGTAAATGTGGGCATTTCCTTTGTCACATTAAAACAGGGAACAGTCCTATCGTATCATAGCAACAGCATTTCTAATATGGAGATATAGACCAATAGAACCTGAGAACCAATTCCAACCACATAATAAAAAAATGATTAAGGAGTTTCAGTGAAAACAAACCAATAAACAAAATAAAGCCTGCGGGCAGCAGGTAATCACAAGGCAACGGCCCGAGAACCACACCAAAGAGGGCAAATAACTCTCAGTAGGGCCTAAAGACCTCAGATTCTGGTTGACAGCATCTGCTAAAGGGAGTTGTGCACTTAATTGAGGGGTGTGCAGTTCCCCATGTCTTTTATGCCTTAAAGACACACTGACTGGCCAAAAGGGGAGTGCACCAAGCTGCTCTGTCACTGCTGAGGAGTCAGTCCTCACATCGTGTGCAACAGGTGAAAAAAGCTAAATTAAATGACAGAAAACCTGATTATATACATTATATACTTCTACTCCACTACAGTGTCAATACAGATTGATAGATTGACTTAATGCTGTACGTTACCTTCAGCCGCTGCCACATGGAGGGCCGTTCTCGAGTCGTAGTCCCTCTGCTCCATGTCCATGGATGACAGCGCAAACCTACACACACAAAATGACTGTAAATACCTTTAATATGTGCCTTTAATTATTGAATCCTTTATAAAAATGAAACATCTTATCAGCAAATTTAACAGTTTGAGGTTGCTCATCAGACTGAAACACTGAAGCGTTGCACTTTTTCCTCAAAACAGACGCTGTTTTTAAAATTATAATATTTAAAATGTAGGAACCATTCATAGTTTATCATCATCACCCTACTTCTTCTTAAAGGTTCACTGTGGACGATACACATTGCTGCCAATGCTTCCCCACAATTCACCTACAGGTGGCAGTAATGCACCGAGAATCGCAACAACATGCCAACAAAGGCAGGAAAGAAGAAATCTGCCAGCTCATAAACATGAACAATATTGGATTTAAAACATTTCAAATTTGGCTTTGCAAATGTTTTATGAGGAAGGATGTCAACACAATAAGTAAATATTTAGTTTGTTTGCTCCACAGGGCTTCTATTAATGAAACTTTTTTCAAAGCTTCCTCTTGCTGCCACTTGAGGGCCCCAAAGTGCAAAGAGAGAGGAGATGCAAACCGTCCACTCTAGGGAGGATTTTAACCATCTTTCTGTTATTGTGTGCATGAATCTGGAAATAGTTATTCATGCCTTCATAACCAGTCAGTTAGATCACTGTAATTCCCTGCAGCAGTAAAAAATCCCTCTCCTGTCTACAGTGGCTACAAGTTGCTTTTAGAATTGAAGATTTTATATGAAACTTAAAAAGCCCTTAAAGGCTAAGTCCTAAATTATTTAGAAGATCTTTTAGTGCCCTATGTTCGGTTGCATCCTCCGTGGTCCAGATTGATACACAATGTTTAGAAACCCACTATTTTTAAAGGGCTTATCATTGATTTTTATGACATTTTACTTCATTTTGCTCTCTTTGTGTACTCTCTTTTTGTTGTAAATGTGTTCTGTTTTATTGTAAAGCACTTTGTAACTGTGTTTTGAAAGGTGCTCTATAAATAAAGCTCATTATTAATATCAGTGAAAGAATAATTACACGCAGTTTACAGGTTAGGAATGTACGGTGGTCAATATATAAGTTAGTAAGAAAAGTGTGAGCACCTCCTCAGGGCAGAGACGTCTCCTGTGTAGGCAGCAAACAGCAGGTTGATGACGGTCTTGACCTGCGGACAGAGACAGACAAACCACACATTCATCCTGTTTTCACTCCAGCAGCGATGATAAACAGTAACAGTATTTTCATGAGGGGAGGACTATATCGGACTATTGTTACAAATTTATATTCTAAAAAGCACTGAGGGGAATTCAGTTTCAGTCATTTCTTCTTTATAATTCCTTTCAGATACATTAATAATTATCTGGTGTCATTCTATAGTTATAGGCTTTTGAAGGCTCAGTCATTTTTAGCAAATGTTACTCAAACAGGAAGAAGTCGTGTATTTGTTCGGGACTATTTTCAGCTGCGGATTAATACACATTTGGTGAAAATAATCTACTGTGTGTGAGTTCCACTAATAATTGTAATAAAAGCCCAATCAGAATAAAAATGCCTCATGTAGCCACCTCAATTTTGGATCCACACACAATACTTTTTAGTAAGTTTTGTTTTATTCATGATATTTGTTGACAATATTCAGCATTTTTCCGATTATCGGTATCTGATTGCTGATCAAATAAATTTGTGATGTTCTGATACCATTTTTTCCTTCCTGATACCAATTCCAATACCTGAACTTTGCAGATTTTGATTACTTTATACTGCTGGGTAGTTTAATCTATAATGATCTGTCATCACTTATTTAATTGATTGTGTATTAATAACTTGAATCTGCAAAGTAACTAGTAACTTGAGTTATTAAATAAATATAGTGGAGTTGAAGTATAAAGTAGCATAAAATGAAAATACTCAAGTAAAGTACATCAAAATTTTACTTATGTAGTTTTATTTTTACTGCAAATATCAGTTATCAGTTCCTTTGATTACTACAATCGGTGTCTCTATCAGCCTTGTGAACATAAAGTAAGTATATCACCATATACTTAGACTTATTAGTTGATTGATAATTTAAACTTTGAAGAAAATATACTTATTTATTTATGAAAGAGAATTCACCTCAGCTGACGACCGCTGCAGACAAACAGCTACATCTATACTCAGTTATAAAAACAATTCAACATACAGTAACTGTAGCTGTTATGAACACAGAGATCCCTGCATCAATTAAGACTTACCATCAATCAGGAATGAATCATTTCCTATAAGCAAAACTTCAGGAGTTGAAAACATACAAAGAAACATTGGAAATGTGAAAAAAATGGAATAAATACGGATCTGTATTGAAATACCAATGCAGGAGAATATATTACACTATTACAGTGTAAAGTATAATTAATATTAAAAAGCAAAATAATAGTATCCGGATTAAAACTTGCAAGGGGACATCAAATGTACGTTTGACCCTCTACATGTACACATGTATAAGCACAAATAATTTGGTACTTTTGGTAATTTAGGTACAGAAGTAAGGTATGGAATCCCATTTCTGCCAATATGACGAAAAAAGAAAGGATTCTGTAAGTCATTATAATGAGAAATGTCCTCAAAATAATGACTTAGTATCTCATAATATTATTAATATATCAAACAATGAGAAGCTTTCCCAATATTTTGACAAAATAATGATAAATCTTTTCATTATTTTATGATACTAAATCAAAAAATTGAGACATTTTCTCATTATTTGAGCTACTAAGTCATTATTTTGAGAACGTTTCTCATTATATTTACTTGGTCCTTTTGTTTTTCATCACATTGGCAGAAATGGGCTTCCATAAGAAGGAGGATAACCCAGCTCATGCAGCAAAAGTAACACCCAATTAAAACGTTCAGAATTCACTAGTATCCACTAACTAACGAAAGCCAAGCTGGAACAAAACATCAAAGGAAAAGACTTACTCAAATAATCTTGCAAAAGAGGACGTAAAGCTTAGACGTGAATGGGCAGAAACTGAGACAGAAGAACACGACTATTATAGAGCCTCATTTCACCCAAATAAAAGCCTCACTCCAGCTGCTTTATAACCGATTCAGGCAGTGAAAACATGTTAAAGAGACACAAACACACAACATCAGATGCAAAAGCAAGACCACATCCCTCTCTCTGTATTTTGGTTAATTCACTATCTTTCTTTCTCTGACAATAATTTCCTCAATCCCCTATGTAAAATGTTAGATCTGGACATTTATATCAAAAGGAAATGTATTAAAGATATAATCAGTAACTTTTATGCATTCAAATATCTCTAAACACTGGACCTATGTTATATATATTGTTGAGTTGTCTACTTACATTATCTCAAATGTTTCCAACAATGTTCAAACTCAGAGAAATCTGTCATTTTATTAAGGTAAAGCTGTGTGTTCACTGGTCGCCGATCAATGGCGTTACAATGCGTCAGCGTTGTGGTTGTCTGCCAGAAGCTGTCATAAACTGACTTTTTATCCAGTTTTAAGCCACATTTTTATATACACTCTTTAGATCTTGGTGAATTTTAGCTCTGTAATTGAACCGGATGAAGAATTTTATCATCGGATGTCTGGATCTTAAGT